GCTCCAGTTCTTCTGATAATGGCTGTAATGATACTTCTTCTAAAATGGCTTCTGATGATGGCTGCCTTCCAACATGCTTTGCAGTAGACTCTTCTGAGGAGCGCAGTAGCAACGAAAGTATGGACGAAAGTTGGAAATCTGCAACTAGCTCAAAAAGTCGAGTAAATCGCCTCAAAAGAATAGAACATGACGATGCACAATACGCAGCAGAGTTCGTGGATTTTAGCAAAAATAAGCTAAAACGAGCTGAAAAGATACTAAACTACTTTCAGAAGCATTCCGAAGAATACGTGAGGTTGTCAGAAGAAGAAGAGCGACATATATCGAGGACAGCATCTAACACATGAATTAAACTTGACATTGAGTGCGACCATGCAAGAAACGATTTGTTGAAATGAATCAACAATTTATGGACATACGCAAACGGGACTTCCAAATGAAGAAAGAAGTAAAAACACGGGCCGGATGAAAACAACCCAACCGACGCGTGCGTACACGTCGGCTGAGTTTTTTTCATCCATCCTTTTTTTACTCTCTTCTTTATTTAGGTCTAATTTCAATTCCTCGATAGACGTTGTCTCATATGAATGATTACTGAACACTTTGGCAGATGAAGAGCGTGCGCGGACAATTGTATCCCAGACTGAACTATTCTCACCCCCTACCTTAGAAGACCGGCTATAAACAGCAATTTTTTTTTGTTATCCGTTGCTTTATCATATACTTATGACATCATAAAGAAGTCATGCTTTAAATGTACAAAGCGAGGATAAAGAGTGGTGAGATTTACAGATCGATGAACAAGCTGTTTCATCAGAGCATGAAAACGACCATTAGACGACCAGTATGAGCGCTGTCTATCCGATCACAAGACTCGGCAATAATCTCCAACGACGTAGTCAAACCTGTAAGATGACAATGTTGATACCATTTGTCCCTTGATATTTCCTGNTTTTTTTTGGATGTAGTTAATCTGCAATAATACCGCTAAGGTGCTTGATATTTGAAGGAGACGGGATCTTTTATACACCAACGGATCAGTTAATTCGACGTTCGCAACCGCAAATATGCTTGGTGACTCGCAGCGTCGTTAGTACTCGCAGATGACAACGACCTCTCTATACTGGTTAGCTGTGCTATTTGGAGTGTGCTAGAAAAATGAAGTTGGCCTTAATCTTCCAGTTCAGATTAGAAGAAATGTGGAAGGTTGACCTCGTCGAAATAAAATTTAATATTCGCATACGAATTTACTGCTTCATTTTACTACTTTTACATCCCCTCGAGAAAAGTGTTCAAATTGGTTCCAATAGTCTTCAAGACGCTCGATGAAGACTCGTTACTGGTTATCTGGAGCGCATAGTATCACAATATCGTCAATAACATGGAACTAAATCATTTCACGTAAGTTCCATAGCTTCTTCACGATACTGAAAAGCTAAGCTTCAGCTTTGATAACCAAACGACGGATTGTAGAGACTAACCTGTAGTCAAAGTTCTCTTCATAGTTAGCATCGAGTATCGAGCGTCAATACTACCAATAAATGAAATAAATGAAGGGAAACTTCATTCGAATACACTACGATCGCCATTCATGAACTTTGAGAGATTGCTCTTCAAGATATTTGATGCAGCGCTGTGATTGGTCCATGTATGCGCGTGATGTCACTCTGACGTCATTACAATGAGCGAACATTTTTCATCCTGGACTCTAGCCACTCGTTCGTACTGGCATGTATTTTCTTAAATTTCATTACTGCACCTTCATGTACATTATGCCTGGTAGTTCTGCGTGACACGAAAGTTCTACCTTTCCTAAATAATCAACCTAACGTGGATATTCGATCTAGCACGATTTTTCTCCCTAGCTCGAATTTGCTCCGTGGCTCGAATGTTCTCAATGGAACGAATAATCTCCGTTGATAGAATATTTCCGTGGCACGAAAATTCTCCGTTGCACGAATGTTCTACGTGGAACGAAGGCTCGAATTTTGTCCGTGGCTCGAATTTTCTCCTTGGCACGGAATCTATTTATTCCATACAAATGAATTAGCATGCGAGCATTACCATCCACATGACGGAAGACGTTCCAAATCGCGACTAAAATTAACTACAATTGAACATTCTACCTATTGCACGTTCGCATTAAGATTTAGTATCTATTTCCAGATAATCTTCGTCACCACTAAGTCGAAAATCCGAGATTTACAGATACCTAGAGACGACAAACCTCACCTTTATAATGCCGTCCACCTACACATCTCTGGTCACTTTTCTTCCCATTATAATCCAGTCCACCTACACATCTCCGTTTAGCTTTCCTCGTCTCTTATTCGCTGACTCGGTGACCTTTGACCCAGCCTTGCCCTGCCAACGCGGCCTTCACAGCTCCACGCGCTGCACTTCACAAGAAAATATATTAAATGCTGCTTAGCTTCGAACAAAACAAAATCCGAGAACTGCTACTGGAAGCTGTACTGTGATGACCTGAGGTCAGGCTTCACCTGTTCTGATTTGCAAGTAGTGTACATATTCAGTCAGGTTATATTGCACAGATATGTCTGAATAGTTATATTTTGTTCATTTGTGCTAGCACAGTTATGCCTGCACGGGTATGTTTTCACAGGTATGCTTGCACAGGTATGCTTGCACACCTATGCTTGCCCAGTTATGCTCGTACATCTATGCTTGCACAGTTATGCCTGCACACCCATGCTTGCACAGTTATCCCTGCACACCCATGCTTGCACAGTTATGCTCGTACACCCATGCTTGCACAGTTATGTTTGCTGCTGTGTGACGCCTGCTAATATTTTGTGTTTGGTATCAGGAAAAGGTTTCAGAAACAGACATGTGTTCAGTAGGGCCTTTTGGGCATCACAAGTTCAGTAAAACGGTTCATAAACTAATGTTTAGTGGTATGAGTACAGTAACATGCATGGGTTCATAAACGACGTATCGGCTCAAAATCGTTAGTTTGGCTAATTATGTTTGATAATATGAGTCAAGTAATATGGGTTCTAAAGCCGACCTCTACAGAAGCATAAATGTTTTTGGCCGACTTTCGTATTCTAATTTTCCATCACTGTAGAATTTACGCGTAGCAGATTGTCAAATGCTTCAACGATAGACTCTTTAGTCAACATTCCGCAAACGGCTACTGAGAACAAATCAATATACAATGAACAAAAACTATATATATAAAAAAATAGAATAGTGATACAAGCTCACATACCTCGTCAAAATTTCAATAGAAATGCTCAGATATGAATAGGCAAATATTCAAGGTAAATCAAGAGCCCCATACCAAACAGTGCGGGCACCGTGCTGTCGCACCAGTCGCAAGCCATAAATAGAGACACAAATGTCGATCCAATTAAGCCTTACCTACTTCTGTAGAGGATAATATTCAGTAGTAATACTGAAGATAACTTGTCAACATCTGCTGCAGGTTCACTAACTGCATTAAAAATTACATTGGATCCATGTTGCGACTTTTATAAAGTTTTGCTTCAATAGGAGTCCATTTGCCAAAGATATAGAATTTAGACTAATTTTAAGATATATTTAGAATATAATTAGAATAAGAATTTAGACTAATTTTAAGAATATATTTACATGTTCACATATGATTTCAGTACTGGCCCTAGATGTAATAGAGCGGTTTTAGATATTATAGGACGGCTCTATTGGTCATAGAGCGCTTGTAGATGTCATAGAGCGGCCCTATATGTCATAGAGCGGCTCTATATGTCATAGAGTGGCCCTATATGTCATAGAGCGGCTGTAGATGTCATAGAGCGGCTCTATATGTCATAGAGCGCTTGTAGATGTCATAGAGCGGCTCTAGATGTCATAGAGCGGCCCTATATGTCATAGAGCGGATGTAGATGTCATAGAGCGACTCTATATGTCATAGAGCGCTTGTAGATGTCATAGAGCGGCCCTAGATGTNAGGTTTGAAGAAAATCGGTCGGTTTTTGCAGGAGTTAGAAGCATAAATGTAAAAAATATACCTCGCCCCGCAAGCGAGAGATCATGTAAGTATAAAAATCAAAGTACTAAAGTCAAAACGCAAATGGCGGAAAAACGGGGGCTTGCGCCCCGGTCCGTTTTTTTAATTTAGCAACTAGAGAAGATAATCCGTCAGCAGATGAAATATGCCAGAAAGATTTGTGTTACAAATTTCACTGAATGGTGTTTGACGAGACGGATACTTATTAATTATTATTGTTATTCTACAAGACTATAAGGAAATCTTTACGTGGTTAGAAGTCTCGAAATCAATTGTTCCAAATACTTTTGTTACTTTGGGTACTGCAGGCACGACTAAAAGGATGGCTTTGAGGTAATTATACAACGGTATAAATAATAGAGGTAATATGACGTCGGTCTGTAGTAGCATATGTCAATCAACCGTCAGTTATGGAAAGATCGGGTTCAAAAGGCCGGATCTCTTGTGGAATCAAGTCACGAAAAGCACAAGAATCGCCAACAGGCCATGGGCCTACAGTGTATTTCTTCAGTGCCGACACTTCTATTCTATTCTATGTAGTTATCATGCTATTATGGCATCATCGGGTTTGATGCTTTACTGAGCGGGGTATTACAACTACATAAGCCGGAATACTGTTACTTTAGTACTAGGGATTTGTTGCCGCAAAATTTTCGTACGATCCTTGTTGAAATTTTCATTTCTACTGATATTACTGCCAGTCATGCGCCCTTAGTATTAGTGTTAATGTGCCGCGAGAACTGCAACACCTGAACCAATGGTGCCGCCATAATCGATCATTCCCTTAGTAACCGGATCAGTGTTTCCACAGCAACTGACGTCTTGCAAACTTAGTTTTACCTCAGCGCCATAACTGTAGAAATCAGGGGTTTCTAACCGTAAACTGTACACCGCAACCGTGGTTTTTTACCGCTCTGTGACGTGTCTGTCTTCGCAGACCTGGACAGCCGTCGTGTTGAGGAAGTATGGCTTCCCGGAAGGGACTATTGCTCTGCCAACGCAGCAGCAGGGTACTGTCTTGTAAGTATGGGTGTATTTACTTCATCAAGATCTGTATGAGTGGTTCCTTAACTTTTGGGGTTTAGAAACCCTTGAAGGTCCCTTATACTGTCGCCGCGCACCTCAATATAACCCCTCGCACAAATAATTCTACGTATTATTAATTAATACGTACTGGCATTTGCATATATCGTCATACAATTGCTCGTATTCTAATAATTAGGGAGTAAAACATGTGGACTGTTTGAAAACGGGGTTTGAAAATAGTTACCGATCTTTCTATTGGCCTTATTGAAGTATAAATTGGACAAATTTTCAAAACTTTGATTTTATTCAAGGGGAAAATTTTATTTTCACCCATTTGTGGTCGTAGCTGAATGAAGAAGCGAGAAGCTCCCCTGTTTACCAGTTATCCCTAATATAATGTTCAATTTAGAGACAATTTCTCGATTATTTCCTTTTTGATTGAGGTGGCGGAATGTTCCTACTCGTGGATCAGCTTCTGCGAGGCGCAGGCTCGGTGTGCGGCGCGAGGTCTCCCCATGGCGTCTCGAGAGTTGTACCAGAACTCCAACCTCATCGACAAGGAGACTCGTCTTGGTTCTAGTAAGCAGACACTACCATAGTCAGAGTTGACAGTATATTAGTTAATGCATAAATATATTGACGCAAGAGTCAGAACCTCAAAACCCTGCTGTACTGAAAAAGGTATGGGACCTCTCGGTCCCATAATTTTTGTAAGAATAGCATTGACTTTTAATGTTTCCGTTGACAAAGGGTTAAAGACAGACCGTTCCAGTCCTTTGCTATAATTCAAGTCTTAACTGTAATGACGTAAAGTCATGATTTCTAACACTCAGATAGGCATGATTTCAGAAAAATATTATTCAGATTAAACAAAAAAGTAACGAATGGTTTATATCATGGCCTCCTTCATTATCAGATCAAACTGACTTCTGGGTGAACATTACTCGGATAAACAATGTGTGGCGTTGGATGCCGAGCATGGAAGCGATGGGCAGCGAGATCTCAACGAGTGCCAGTCCCGACCGAGATTGCGCACTGATGCGCGTCCTCTATGACGGTATCTCTTTCGTCCCTGTTCCATGCCGGCAAAATTACGCACGGTGTGTGCTTTGTTACGATCCTGCTACAAGGCTGCCGGCGTGCTATGGAAAATAAAATGGAACCCATATTTCTAAGCCGTTCGACACACCGTCAGACACGTTGCAGGTGGACTCGTTTCGAACATATTAGGGAATCAAACTGGTTTTGCAAATAAACAGAAATTATTGCGAGACGAGCTTATTTAACACGTGAAGTGTGATACGACCCATCATCGCTGGCAGATGGCCTAAAAACGGCCAAGTCCGAGGATAAAAGGCATATAATTCAAAATATCCTAGTAAATTTGTAGTTCCGGGTGCAAAAATTAAATTTTCCTTTTTTCCGTAAATTTTACAATTTAATGAGGCAGTCCTGCCATCATAAATTATTGTCGACAAACGCAATTGAAAAAAAAAGATAACTTAGTACTCACTGTAGTGAGTGACAGAGAGCGCATTTTCTCGTCGACGAAAACTTGAGGTCACGGACAGACGGGCGGACAGACAGACGGACAGACAGACGGACATGGCGAGCACAATAGCGCATTTTTTCCATAAATGAGAAAATGCGCTTAAAAACGAAATTGCGGAATTTGTCCGGTAAAAGATTCTGAAAACCCACCGATGAGTCGTGCCACACTAACGTGTTAAATTTTTCTTTTAAAATCAGTCACGAGGAGTAGTTGCATTATTTGCCAAGGCCATTGGTTGGTTTCCGGCAGCGAAGTTACTAGGCCTTTGCATATCTGACGTCATATTTTTTCTCCAAGGTTAGGCATAATTTTTTAAATGCCATGGAAGACTCGCGTTTTCTTTTCATGTAATTTTCCATCAGATTCAATTCATAAATCAACTTGGAGGAGTCATGTCATTCAAACATTGTTCGTCATGTTGTGTATGTGACGACCTCAAGAGATGAGGTACTTTAATGACGTCACAACTTTCCAGTTTATAATGGATTGCTATTGCATGAGTGAAACTTGGTTTAATTTTATGTTCAGATGCTAAAATAAGCATATGCGGGAGAGAGAAGGAGAGCAGAGCTAGTTGATCAAATAAGAAAAGTTCCGTAGGTTACAACCTACACCGGCAAAAAAATCGTTGTATTTATTTATAATAGTCAGCACAACTTGTTTGATCACGACCCAACCTATATAACCTATTATCATCAGTTATAAACATTTAGAGTTTCGTTTTCAAATTCTAGCTTATGATTGATTCAATTTTCTCTCACAGTAGAAATTCATATCAATGAATTTCAAGACATTCGTTTGTAGCACATACCTTTAAGATAAACGTTTTTAGGTTTTAAATAAAGGGGTCTAGTTTTTAGGTTTTAAGAAAAACGGTCATGGCCGGAGGTTTTGTGGAAGAAAGTTATAAATGTAGTTCAAGTAATTCAAAGGCGTTCGATTCATGCGTGAAAATTATTTTCGTCAAATAATCCGAGGTTTTGATAAAATTTGGTACAACCAGAGATTTATTTATCCAGATCCAACAATGAAATTAAGGTTGCAGGTGCCATTGCGATGCTATAAGAAACGCGTGGGAAAACAAAAAGTGATCAGAAAGAGGAAATAGAATATTAAAAATACATTGAGATGAAGATAGAGATAAAAATAAGGTGCATGGTTAGGCTGCAGAAAAGAGCTTGGGGTTGGGGTGCAGTGAGTGATGAGCTGTTAGTGACGGATTTGCCTGTTTCTCTCTAATTCTTATTTTTTGTTTAAATTCATAATATATGAATTTTAATGATGATCGTTTATGATGACGATGCTGGGTTGGAGTCTCCCGAAATTTGAAGAGTTAGATATATATTCGTCTTTGGACAGTTTGAGTAATTGTCATTCGCCTGCACTGTGTATTGATATAGGTGTGTTAGATCCCACCAGACAAATGACGTTTAAACAACGCTTAATTGACGTTAATTGAACAAAACAACGTTTAATTCGACGTTGATTCGATGTCAGAAATCTGGTGGGATAAGTCCGTCAGCGTCGTCTGGGTAACCGTAGAGAAGTATTATAGAATCTATATGTTATAGAATCCAACCACTTTACAGAAGTGTTGTAGAATCTAACCATATATATAGAATCTATATGTTATTGAATCTAACCACTTTATAGCAGTGTTATAAAATCTAGCCACTTTATAAAAGTGTTATAGAATCTAACGTCAAAACAATATATCCTTCGTGTTGGCGGTGCGAATGTAATAATGTTGATGCACCTAGACGTGTTGTGAGAACTAATGCCTATAAGTACAGTATGACATTCACATTATGTATTTGGAGTTCGGTTAAAAAAGTCGTGCCATCTTATCAAATGGGATAACCCCATAAAAAATTTCTAGCGACTTATGATGGGGACAGAAAATTTAATGTTAAAGGGAAGTGCATTTCACATTATTGCCAGTTGAAACAACCGTCGTGCAGAAAATATTCGAAAAAATTTTTTGATAGAAAACATATGTTAAACGAGAGAGGTTGCTAAATTCTGAAGGTGAATATTGATGAAATACAGCTTGATGTTAATAGTGGCCGCATATAGAGGATTACAATCCTTAAACTGTTAAATTTATCATGCTTTAATAAATAAACTTTAACGCATTCCTTCTTGTGTTCTAAATGAAAAACGGAAAATAATTTTTTTCCTTGATATGAAGATTGGAGATGCTACCGAAATGGCGAACAATGAGCCCATCACCTGTAATGTCCAATTGTGTCATATACACTAGATTATGGAACATGAATGAAGTTCACTTTTATTTAACATCCTTCCTCACATTATTATCCCTATACTATTTTTTGTTGCACCCCTCTTTTGGAGTCTTTCTGGTAGTCGTCATTGGCGTAGCTTATGTATAATGTAGTCCAGTATAATGTCCAGTATAATGTAGTGTTCAATATTGGGCAACAACTACGCTGGGCTCGGCTCTAATAGTTACATAAGTATAATGGGTTATTAATTTATTTTGAAACGATCATCCAAAATTAATCGTTAGTTAACCTCGATGCTAAATTTGATAAGGCGTAATATTTGTTTGCTTTTGCTAGAAAGTATCTGAAAATGAATCATGGCTGAAATTAACAAGCGTGCCATTTCTCCTGCATTATAAGAAGACTGACATTTTAATGATTGGATTGCTTTCTCACCTTGCCTTGAGTTTTCGAATGTCATGAACTTCTTAAGTATGAAACTTAATCAAACCGAATTATTTCATGCAAATGGAAAGTAATATCAGAGAATATTATGACTTATGCCTTCGACTTGCTGACTAATTACTGATGAGATAATCAATTCTAAACTATAGTCACGTCCTTCGAAGATAAAATACAATGAGTATTCTGGCTTTGATGGAATGTTTGATAAACCCGACAGGAGAAATTGTTCTTCCTTGGTTACAGGACATGATGTCTTATGCGACGGCTATATTTACGTTTGAGGGGAATTTAATTAGTTGATAAATTGAAACAATTTGACGCAAATATTTCGAGATAACTTGAACATGAGCTTTTTCAGTATAGACTAAAATCTCATAATCCAGGCTCAAGAGCGATTTCATCGATGGTATCAATTTTCGAAAGGTCTCTCTCAAATTTTGGGCTCATGTAAATGGATTGATGTCCTGAAATATAAATTCTACCGCGAAATAGATATGTAAAGGAGTGAAAGAATTGTAGCATGAATTCTTACAGGTGCATAATCATGAATCGATATAGAAAATCAAGCTTCACTTAAAAATGCAGTGTTTTTGAGGAAACGTGGAAGAAAATGCTATATTTTTAATAACGCAGGAAATATCATATGTTCAAGTTCTTGTGTACATTATAATTAAATGAGTAATATTCATTAGACTAGCACTCTCATCATTGATAAATCGAATATACATGCATGTGGTATATTGCAGTACCTATGAACCGATGATTACCGCAGCTGAGATTCATAAAGAGAAACTCTATTGAATTTATTATCTTATTTCGCTTAATTTATATTTGTGGAGAAAAAGTTTCTATTTGCGATCCTACAACAACTGTTGGCAAGGCTGCTGCTGCTCGAGCCTATAATTTGTAATCCCAGCAGGCAATGTCAGATTGAATCAACGTTGAAATAACAAAACACACGACGTTGAATTAAATAACGTTGAATATTAATTTAGAATGAAAAGTGAAGCACCGTCATTTTTTCAACGTCTTTCATTTAGACGTTGTTTCAACTTTAAAATCGCGTTAACATCTGACCGTAAGATCGTGAATATATATACAGTATGCGATTTTATAGTCAGAATTTTACGCTACTTGAACATTGAAACGACGTTGAAAAAATGATGTTGCTTCAACTTTTATTCTAAACTAATATTTAACGTTATTTCAATGTCGTGAGTTTCGTTGTTTCAACGTTGACTCAACCTGACATCGCCTGCTGGGATATAATTATTCGACGTTCGTTTCAGCACTGCCCACGGCCACGTTGCCTTAGTCTTTTTCGACCGAGTCTTCAGTGTCAATAGCCACTCAAAGTCTGGGTCATTAATTGTAAATCAATAAAAACAGTGCAAATTTAAATTGGTCTGTTTAAATTTATAATAAAAATGATGAAAATGGGGATAAATATTGTAGTAGTATTTGTTTTGAGAATTTAATTTTCTAATAAAGTTTTTTACTTCATTTGATTCATGGAAGTTTTTTGTAATATGTTTCAAATATAACGAATTTATTGAGGGTGGTTAATGTAACTTACAATTGATATTCAGGTACGATTTGAATTAATTAAATTTCCTTAATGAGCTAATTTGAACCTGAAGTTTTCTATTGTAATATGCAGGACAACACGAAATTGTCCTCACGACAGAGCATGTGTGAATTCGACTATTGTTTGCAAGTATCCAAACATTGCGCATA